GTGGTGATACCTAGTAAGGAAAGCGTAATTCATAAAATTATGCATTGCGCAGAATTAGATTGGTTAACTGGAAGACTTAAAAATCAGGATGACACGGTTTTTTACCAAATTTGGAACAAATTTTACAGATGGTGGGGGCAAAAGCAGGGAAGCTATTGTACTGAGATAATTCAAGATTGTGATTAGAGTGCTGTTATTGTATAGGTTTTTCTCATTAGTAATTTATGGTAATAGTGAAATGAGATATATGTCAAATCTGTGTTACCATGTTCAATGTTTTAATTTTTTGCTTTTCAATAAAATTTAAAAATAAATAAATAAAGATGTCCAAGTGGGGAAACTCTGACTCAGAATGGATGGATGTAAGTTAACGATCGGTACTGTTTTTTTGTTTTAAACAGGTTTGGCAGCAGATGGCAAAGCTCAACCTCAGACCTGACCTGTACACTTACAATTTGATGCTAAGCGCTGCCAAGTACTGTGGCATTGGTGACACGGAGGTGGCTTCTAAATTGTTGCTAAGACCCTTAGAGGAACGCCCCGCTCTCTTGGGGCTGAATTCTGGCAGAGAGCAAAGCACAAAGGGTCAGAGAAAGAAAAAAAGTGACACTCCGGCTTTAATGTTACTGGATGTCGAAGCTCTGGAAAAAAACATGTTCCCAGGAAACGGTCCGAAAACGGAGACGCCTAACACAAGCCGAGAGGATGCCAAGGACAGGTCAAAGCCGGAGTCCAGCGATGACTCTGATTTATCAGGCCGCGATACCGACTGGACTTCGGTCATCTCTGCTGGGGACCCGTTGGTTCCGGAATCAACAGCTGGAAGCTCTTTCCCGGAGCCTGCCGTTCCCCTGCCTAACTTGCTGGATTTGGGGAGCCCAGCCCCACAGGTGATTTCCTTAGGGACGGTGGCCACCCCCTCCGATCGGCTGGCTCTGATGGGAAACATGGAAGGGTTCTTGCAGAAAATGAAGGGCGACAAAGTGGCGGGCGATATGAAGACGTTCATATTGCTAGCTGAAAACGTGGAACTCGACAGCCCGTCCGAATCGTCTTTGTTGGCCGTCATGGAGGAGAACCACGTGAAACCAAATGTAGCTTTTTTTAATACGTTGATCAGAAAAAAGAGCAAGAAAGCAGATCTGAAGGCGGCAAAGGTAAAAAGTCATCCCTTTCTGGGTGTGGATCGCTACTGTGGGAGCCCTGCATTAGCCAAATTCAGCTTTTTAGAGACTTTTTAAAAAAATCTCTCGTAAATTACTTTATAAGTAATTGAAAGCGGCAAAAATACCCAATACTCCATTGCCCTCTTATTTTCTCCACAACAACAATCCTGTGAGGTGGTTGGGCTGAAAGAAAGTCGTTGGCCCAAAGTCACCCAGCTGAAAGCCTAAGGCAGGACTAGAACTCACAGCCTCTCCTGGTGTTTCTAGCCTGATGCCGTAACCCAGGGGTCTTCAAACTTGGCAGCTTTAAGACTTGTGGACTTCAACTCCCAGAATTCCTCAGCCAGCCCTGAGGGCTGGCTGAGGAATTCTGGGAGTTGAAGTCCACAAGTCTTAAGACCCCTGCCGTAATCACTAGGCCAAATTGGCTGTCTTTGTAAGACTTTCCTATGAGGAACGGTTGCTGGAATTGGGTATATCTAGTTTAACGAAGAGAAGGACGAGGGGGGACATGATAGCAGTGTTCCAGTATCTCAGAGGCTGCCACAAAGAAGAGGGAGTCAAGCTATTCTCCAAAGCCCCTGAAGGCAGGACAGGAAACAAATAGATGGAAACTAATCAAGGAGAGAAGCAACCTAGAACTGAGGAGAAACTTCCTGACAGTGAGAACAATTAACCAGTGGAACAACCTGCCTCCAGAAGCGGTGAATGCTCCAACACTGGAAGTTTTGAAGAAGAGACTGGATAGCCATTTGTCTGAAATGGTATAGGGTTTCCTGCCTGAGCAGGGGGTTGGACTCGATGACCTCCAAGGTCCCTTCCAACTTTATTATTATTATTATTATTATATGTTAGAAATGTCAGCTTCATCTGGAGTTATTGCCTATTTTGGAGAACGTATACAGCCACGCTTAACCTCTTCTCAATTTACAGAGCCTGCTGCCTTTAATGCTGCAAAATGGACTTTCACCAGACCTGTACACATTTTGTAACCTGGCCATTGCCTGCCGCAGACAGAAGGAAGGGTTGCACTTACTGTCAGACATGAAGGTACAAAACGACCCACCTCTGAGCTGTTAGCCCTTTCTAGCAGACATGACCTGAAATTCAAAATCTCAAGGCCTTAGTTTTCTGCGTTAAAAAATATTTGCCGTACCTTGGGACTCGAACAAAGAGAGAGGGGGGTACGTTCCTTCTTCACAACTTGCCTTTGTTTTCAAAACGTTTCGGCTCTTTTTGTGTATTCATTTCAGCAATCTGGAATAAAACCCAACGTGCAGATCTATGGGGCACTGATAAACGCAGCCGTGAAGCGACTGAATTACACTTACCTCACCGAGATCCTTAAAGACATGAGCCGGAACGAAGTTGCTCCCAATGAAGTTATTATTAAGACGCTGGAGTTTGCAGCCCAGTATCCCCCTAATTATGATAAGGTAAGATTATCCTCTGCTTTCCGGTTTGTTTAAACTTGCCTCGAGCCGATTTCAGCCAGGCCTAAAACGTTAGGAACTTAAAACTTTATGGAACAGGTTTGGAAGGCATTAAATTGCTATGGATATCAAAACGTAAGTAATAATAATAATAATAATAATAATAATAATAAAGTTGGAAGGGACCTTGGAGGTCATCGAGTCCAACCCCTGCTCAGGCAGGAACCCTACAGCATTTCAAACAAATGGCTGTCCAGTCTCTTCTTAAAAACTTCCAGTGTTTGGAGCATTCACCGCTTCTGGAGGCAGGTTGTTCCACTGATTAATTGTTCTGACTGTCAGGAAATTCCTCCTTAGTTCCAGGTTGCTTCTCTCCTTGATGAGTTTCCATCCGTTGCTTCTTGTCCTGCCTTCAGGTGCTTTGGAGAATAGCTTGACTCCCTCTTCTTTGGGGCATCCCCTGAGATATTGGAACACTGCTATCATGTCCCCCCTCGTCCTTCTCTTCGTTAAACTAGACATACCCAATTCCAGCAGCCGTTCCTTATATGTTTTAGCCTCCAGTCCCCTAGTTAAATGTTTACTTTAAGCTTCACCTCCAAAGAAAACCCCATTCATGCTTTTGTCCATATAATTAAGCGATGCTGACTTGACGGCTTATCGTTGTCAGTTCTAATACAGGTAGTCCTCAACGGCCGCAGTTGGCCTCAAAATTTCTGTTGCTAAGTGAAGCATTTGTGAAGTGAATTTTGCTCCCTTTTGTGGCTCTTACCTCTGTTCTTAAGGGAATCGCTGCAAGCTGTTAAGTTAGTAACCCAATAGTAGCTACACAGAGTATTGTCCATGAAATTGCTGGGTGTAAAACTTGGATCCAAGGAGGCCTCGTTCCAGTACCTGGGAGATGTTGAAATCAAAGGCAAGCCCATAAGCTTCAAACTTGTCTTTGCCCAAGAATCTAGAAGGCCTACCAGGAAGAATTGGGTGTAGAATAGCCTCACATCATCCCGCCTCTATTCTGATTCTGATGCAAGGTACGCTTTTAATAACTTGCATTTGTTTTCTTCTGGCAGTACCAGAAAAAGGATCATTATCTGGAGAAAATTGATGGCTTCCGAGCTTTCTACTTCGGTTGGCTTAAGTGGATGGCCGGGGAAGAAACACCACACCCTTGGTCAAAATACCGATATAAGAATTTGGCACAAAGCAAAGATGGCGCCAGGCTGGGACAAGATCAAGGCAGTCAGGTGCTGAAATAAAGCAAATATTGACCATTCAAGATGGGATGCCGGCAACTTTTGTAAATTGCTTAATTCTGTACGTATCTGTTCACATGAAGCTTAAATTAACCCCTAGGTGTATATACAATTGCAACCCAAATTTATCTGGAACATATCTCTCGGCAATATACTGTCTAATAACACGTTTATCTTACCAATTCTTGCTGGAGGTGATTAAATCTACCATCCTGTTTGTGCTCTAAAGGAAAGGTTATATTGGTTTTGTAGTGATCTCTTTTTAAGCCATTTTATTAGCTAGCATGGAGAATTCTGGGAGTTGAAGTCCACACATCTTCAAAGTCACCAAGGTTGAGAAATGATGGTTATAACTCTTCAAAGGAAAATATTTAGAAACCTAAAATGCAATGTTTGAAAGTACAAGTAGTACTGAGCAACATTTGCTGCAAATATTTCCTACCCAACAACTTCTGGGAACATTGGTGGAGAAAACAAAAGAGACTATATAAATATACTTTTGGCAACTAAATAAAATTGGGCTTCAGTAAAGATTCCCAAAGTAAGGGATATTTTCTATCCTTTAACTATCCCGCAGTATCCATACAACTATTCATATAATTAAAAAGGGACAATTATTTAACATGGCAGTGTATAAAATTTTGTTTCAGCTCCCTGGTTTCTTTGCTTGAAATGGGTATTGAGTTCCAGGAATCCTATCTTTACTAATGATCGTTATGTATTAGTGACCCCCAATATTTTCAAATCACTAGAGGATAAAGAAGTACGTACTTAATGTAGCCTATTATTGCTAGAACTAGTGCAGGAAAATAATTACAAAATCTGACAACGGTACTTATCATTTGGGAGAAGCAGGCAAGACTTTATTTTAAAATACAATGACAATGTAGGACATCAAAACATCATATGCATTTACACAATTATTCTATTGCGGGAGGCAAAGGGAATCATCTCACAGGTCTGTTGTGAAAAAAAATAGTTCTTATGAACAGTCCTTGATGGTAACAAGTCACTTAAAATCTTTAAAAAGTTGGAGTTGCTTTTGAAGAATGTTTCATCCAGAGCAGCCTCGGCAGCCACAGTGAGTACACTCGATTATTCTCCCCTGTAGAAGGAAACCAACAGGTGAGTGGAAAAATACCGTAAAGTAATACAAGAAATAGAAAAAAAGAGGAATGGGTGATTTGAAAAAACTTGATTTTAGAGCAGGGGTATTTTTTACAGGACGGGAATTTCATAAGCTATGTTTTATACGTGATTGGGCTTTTGACTATGCATACAAGGGGAGCAGAAAGTGGATACTAAAAGAATGGCTCCAAATGACTTAAAAACAATGTTTCTCACCACTTCCAGTTTACTTTTGGGCACTCTACAAATGCAGTTGGTTCCAAAATTGGTATCGCGAGTCTGGATGCAGCGTAAGCAGCAGAGATTTTCGTAGCCTTGCTTCTTCCATTTTGCAATCAGGTTTTTGTCCGCGTAGCCTTCTCTGATACAATATTCATATAATTCTACATAGGGCAGATACAGATGAAAGAGTGAATACATTCCTTTGATTAAATGAGCTAGAATTTGGAAATAGGTGAACACTGGTAAAAGTGTATGGAAATGGCCTTGAAGAAAGAATTCAGTAAATGCCAGCTAATTCAGTAAATGTCACCTAAGCTATCGGGCACCAACAAGAAGTTCCAGTTAAGCTGGTTTATTGCTCGTACCTATACACAAGAATTTATTCAGATAACAGCATTAAACTGGTGTTAGACAAGAGCTTAACAGAATTCAACAGGAGTTGGACTAAGCTTGTGGGAGTGTAAGGACTCTAGGCTGATTCCTCGCTTGACTCCATCCCCAGATTGTCTGTCCTGCATAAGCAGAAGTGAAAAACTCAACATTGTCCCACCATCTTTTTTTGATATTAACAGGGCACGCAGAGAAACTCTGCCAGGCTTTCAAGAGTCTGTTATACCCCATAATAAGAGTTCCAGTAATCCTACCTCAAAGGGCTGACTATTTCCCCCACACACACAACAAAAAGACAAAGGTTTATCTTTTCAAGGTGAGACCAAAGAGCCCACTGTCTTACCTCGACTAATGGCTTTCCTTTTATAGAAGAGATCAAAAATATAGCGTGTTTTCTGATGATGAATTCTGAAGATGGGCCAAAGAGATTCCACTTTTCTTTTTCCTTCATGTGGTTCGGTCTCAGCTGAGAGAGAAATGGCACAGATTGTACATTACTTTCTCATTCTCACATACTTTTCCCCATTTGTCTGTAATGTTTGCAGTTAAGTCAGCCCCCCTCTCTCTGTCTCTCACCTTCTCTCATTTTTTGATCCAGCTCATCTAGGGTTGGCTCAATCAATTCCCAGCCATCTGGAGGAGGTTTTCTGCTCCTTTTCACCTTGGGCATCGCTTCAGAAAAGGACAAAAACCTGCAGAAGAAACATATTTGAGATGTATGTATAGTCTGATGAGGAAGACACCAAATGAAACGGGGTGGTGGGGGGGATGAAAATGTCAGTAGGAGACATAGGACATTGAGATTTTTATACCCAGTT